GAAGTGGTTGTGGAACTAGCGCAATGGCACAAACTACTGACGAAACGTGCAAGTAGTATTTGGTGAAAGCAGTTTACAGTAACGTCCATACATACAGTGGAAAGCCTATTTGGAAATTATCAAATCATTCGACAGTGTTCGTTCATTAATGTCGAATATTTGAACCACGTCGATTTGAATACAATATCTCCAATAATTTATTTCCGTTTTATGCGACACCACAACGGTCTTCAGTCTCACCTCCGTTATTCCATTGAGCTCCTGTTAAGCTTCATTTCACCAGATTTCTGTTTACTCAAAGCAGTGGTAAACTCTGAACATTCTTTATTGGTGAAAAGCTGGCTGTGAAAACTAAACTTCAGTTGTACTTCCCCCACTTCCTCCCGGAACACCCTATCTGTTTCGTCACACTTGGGTCTTAGGATCCTTTTGAATGATCTTTTGCGTATGAACACATCTATAGTAATTGTCTGCTAAGTACACTCGTAAAAAACTGTCTGCTCTTCATCCTGTGGCTGTGCTGATGTCACCTAATATGAGCAACAGCTTTGGACCATTCGAAAAGTTATGGATGACTAGACGACGTCACGAAGTTCTCGGATATATCTGGAGACGATGTACACAAACCAAGTCACTGACAATGGGGAATGTGTTGTGTTTGTGAGCGGTACTTACGAGTTTGGCTGCCAGGTCTTTGTTTTAAGTTGTCCGGTCAAACACCGAACCGAGGTGGTCAAAACACGTTCTCTTGGTTGTGTGCAATGCATTCTCCAGGATCTACTCTATTCAGGGAGAGAGTGGTTCCTGCTCCGTCAACCGTACACTTCCTCATCTGTGACACCTAGGTGTAGTGCGTAGTGTGAGCGACCAGTACCAACTGCCGTATTTTGAAATACCTGAAAACCGACATCGCAACTTTAGCGCCATGATCGCGTTTTTATCACAAACTACACTATAAACCGAAACCGTTGCCCGGCGTGCAGTATGGAGATGACGCTGGGTTTCACTGTACTGAAACGATACCCGGTCGTAAACGTTACTTCACGTTTTCTCTGAATGCCTGTCGTGATGCTTACATTGAAATAGCAATAGTTGAAGCATGCAAGCGTGTGTGTCCAGCTCCGTCTACAATACCTTGTNAACACTGTCTGCTCTTATCATGTGACCGTGCTGATGTCACCTAATATGAGTAACAGTTTTGGACCATTCGAAAAGTTATGGATGACTAGACGACGTCACGAAGTTCTCGGATGTATCTGAAGACGATGTACATAAACCTAGTTACTGACAATGGGGAATGTGTTGTGTTTGTGAGCGGTACTTACGAGTTTGGCTGCCAGGTCTTTGTTTTAAGTTGTCCGGTCAAACACCGAACCGAGGTGGTCAAAACACGTTCTCTTGGTTGTGTGCAATGCATTCTCCAGGATCTACTCTATTCAGGGAGAGAGTGGTTCCTGCTCCGTCAACCGTACACTTCCTTATCCGTGACACCTAGGCATAGTGCGTAGTGTGCGCGACCAGTACCAAGTGCCGTATTTAAAATACCTGAAAACGGACATTGCAACTTTAGCGCCATGATAGCATTTTCGTCACAAACGACGCTATTAACCGAAACGATAGTTCGACGTGCAGTATGGGGATGACACTGGGTTCCAGTATACTGAACCTATACCCGGTTGTAAGCGTTACTTCACGTTTTCTCTGGATGCCTGTCGTGATGCTGACATTGAAGTAGCAATAGTTGAAGCATGCCAGCGTGTGTGTCCAGCTCCGTCTACAATACCTTGTCTATCTAAGGTATTGTCGTAGCCAAACAGTCAACCAATAAGCGTTGAGGCAAAATATGGCCACCATACTAAGGAACACAAGAAGCAAACCAATCAGTTCACAGTTTACCGGTACACACGGGTCTCAGCTGGCCAGAAACCCTATACAACTGTGCTTTCTAACTTCCAGGTCTTCAGCTGACAAACGATCTTTCAGCAGTACAAGTTTACCAAAACCTGCATGGTTCCCGTTACTGTCCTTCTTGATATGTTACAATCATAGGCGATTCCTGCGCCGATTGTAATCCACACAAGCGAGTCCTTCTCAAGGCAAATCGTGTCACAAACTGATCTCTAATTGTACAGTACAGGAGACCATAGCTGCAACCGCCGGGATTAACCTCTGTCGGGGGCTTCACATGTAAATTAACCTGCAACACGGGTCAAGCATAGTATAACGGTGGTCTGAGCTTTCATGTCCGTCTTACGTCCGACTGCGTAAGTGCATGTGCAATCGTTTGTCGTTGGCTTGTTCCTGTCCGTACCTGTCTGTGCTTCTCAATTAGTCGCTCTGATTGGTCGATCGTAACAATGCTGTCCTGTCGAGAGAAAGCTGCTCTCCGCGGCGTTTGCGTCCGGATGCGCGCATCCGCAGATTCAATTTGATAATTGATTCTAAAGTAATTCTTTCGTCGCTCACGAAAGAGTTACTTTAGGATCTTCTCCCTTCTGTCCAACTTGACTCTGAACTGGAGCAGATCGTTGTCTCCCCTTGAATTTTCTCGATAGTCTGCTCGTAAGGATGGTTTACAGTAACAAAATATTGATTCGGAGAATTCTTACTCCGATACGGTTTCATATAGAGCCAGCCTNGGTTTCATATAGAGCCTCCTTTATTCACAACATGAAAACCAGTAATCGTGAAAACTAATGGCTCTTCCAAGTGGTTTCAAGAGGCATGTTGTTTTTGGCATGACAGTACGGCGCACCAGCTCATATAGCGCCCACACATTCCTGAACAGTAGGTTATAATACCTGGCTTTTTCAACCATTTTGAAGGCAACTCTGGATGAAAAGATGATTTGAAAAGTGCCAGTTTAGGTGAGAGACCGGCTATTTTGCCGGTGGAAGAAACATATCTTTTGGCGCATAACAATAGATTTTTTCACAGTGAACTTTTTCCGGCTAACCAACACGGTTTGAAAGAAAATTAGAATGGGATAAATCGGAATGAACATAGTTAAGCAGAGGACAAAAACCGGATTGTTTCACAATCATGAGGACAAAAAATTCGCAACGAGTGGAGGATGATTATGATACTTTCTGGTGAGCTCAACAAACCACTTGAGCGCCATTCTTATCAGTGTTACGAAAAGTGATTGTGCCCTTTCTCACTACTCATACTGAATTGATGGGGACTGTTGATGTTGGGAGGCCATCGTTTAATTGCACCAATGCTGAGCCTGTCTCCTGGAATGCTACTCTAATTTTAGCCTTAGCCCTTCAAGTGAATTCAGATGTCCCTACTGTTATCTAGACCCGTTCAATGCTGGATTTCAGTGCTGGATCACTTAGGCGCCTCAGTTGCCACCTAATCAAGCCCACTCGGCTTTGCTCTACTTTAAACCTCAATCCGTGTTGATGTTTGGTCAGCTCCTTCCGTGCACTGCGTTCGTACTATGCTAATTGTGGAAATTAACGAATCTATGCTACTTTCGCCGATGCGTGGTTTCATATGACACCTGCGTCTACTGTTTTCACTGTTTTAACTCTAATTTTTATTTTGGTTTCTTGCTTTTTATTTTTTATTTTTTATCATTCTAGAAACGGTACTGTACTCCGAAAATGGATACCAGCTCCATGCTGAACTTAATCTGAGGATTCAAGTTTTTCTGACACTGGTTGAACTTGTTGAACTTTCGATTCTTGGTCACAACAAACACATCATCTACGTAACACAAAAGCTTGAAATATTGGAGACCTCTTGATCAAGTCTTGTTTTTGAGAGCCAAAAACAAAGTGACCCAGATTTAAACTTATCTGGACACATTCAGCCACCTCAACTATGGGGAATCTTGTCCAATTTTGCGGTGTCGTGTTTGCCAGTGGTGAACACCCTGCCATCCTCATGACTACTGGCATACCTAGAACTGATAACAGAACTAATGACTCCAATAAACGCTGTAGTCTTTTGAGGGAAGCCTAGAGTGGGTAGTTCAAGATACCTACCATAAATTCAGCCAACTTATATGGAAGTGGGCCTATTGCATCCACCAGTGACCTTCTGGGGAGAATGGGTTGCGAAGTTTGGACGGCCCATAAAGTCAGTTTTGGAGTGCATTCTTGATTTGGACCACATTGTTTATCATTGACCTTTACTGCCCCCCATTCCGACCTAGCTCCTATTCATTGTTGACTTCATTGTTCCCCAGCTAATTTGTCGTTAAGGTTCATCAACTTGGTGTCAGTTGGCTGAAAACCAGCCAGCGTTATTCAGGACTCATCCGCTCGCCCAACCAAGATGTTATACAACTGTTATTCAGTGTGTTGTGGCCCCAGGTTGTTTTGTCTCCAGAGTCGCAGGCAACTGTTCACGTTCACTGAAGGACGTTACCAAAACCTATTTGCAAAACTAGGAGTGATTTCTTCTACTATTAATTTTTCTACTTACCGCGAAATTCAGTCTTGTTCTTTAACAGAAAACGCTCCTTCTCACCTAAAATGGTTCGTCTGCCAAATTCGAAACATGGCTTGTTCCAGTGTCTCACTAGAACACAGATACGTGGAAAGTAGATCTTCCTACCGACGTTTATGTCCGACTTTACCAAGTATTGAATCCACCAAGGCTTTCCGGAAAGTTTCAAACTGTGTCCTTCAACTGCACATAGTTGGTTTCGTTTTTCTCCGCAAGTGAATTATGGTGACAAGGTTAAAAAAAGCCCCTTTTACAAATGCTACTGGCAGACGGGGAATCGCGAGGCTGACTGGCATGCGGCGCTTGGACCCGTCAACGCAACTGTTGTTGTGACGCCATTGCACCATGCCTGGCGGGCATACCTGTCATTCTTAACCCGACTGGGTGTGACTCCATAATGCGTTTCCTAGTGTAAACCGCCTTGCTTGCACTCTGTATGAATTTTAATGCAATATATATGATATATTCTTTATCCTATCCCGCAGTGTGTAATATGCACCTGTTCATAAGCTATAACCACTCTTTTTCTTTGAACACAGTTCTCACGAGATGAGCCTCGCGTGTCCATCATAGATGTTCCAGAGTGGCCCAACAGAGAAGCGCTTCACCATTTGGGCGACATCAGTGCTTCGGCCCCGTTAGACGAGGAAGGACGTGACGTCCTTGTACTTCATCGAGGTGATCGTGAATGGAATCTCCTGTAAGTGAATCGATTTGCGAGTGCCGTCTTTCTCTGGACTTCACAATATCACTCAGCTTTCAAGGCAGTAACCCATCTCATTGTCGCGGGTTTAGTTGTGACAACCCACATACTGCTGAAGTATTTGTGCTGGTTAATTGATTCGGCCAAAATTATTCATCTATGCATCCACTGTTGATTCCTTTGGCATTTGATCATACCGCAAGTTTTTTGGACTTGTTTAAATTTATTTAAACAAACCTAGCTAGCTGATCTCAAACGACAGCTACTGTGTCTGCGATAGTGTGTTTCCCGCCGCGTCGGTCCACTTAACTATTGACTGTTGCTTTCCCAGGCCATTCACGGTAATCTGAATAGAAACCTGCTGATGAATGAGCGTAGAACGTAAAGTAGTGCATGCCTCGTCTCGCTGCTGCTATTGTCACAGTGTGCGTGAAGCTTGAAAAGGATACGATATGCCATCTTCTGATGTATTTCTCAGTGCTCGGCTTAGGGATAATGAGCTCAGCAAAACCGAAACTCTGGTCATTCAACCAGCATCGACCTCAGGCTGATTTGACGCGGAACGTTGATTGATTTTGCAGGCTTTTTTCTCAAAACATGGGCTGTTACGAATGATGCAATTCACTTGTGAACTAGTTTGTACAGCTAAATTAGATCGGGATAACTGTTCCGTTGCTGAATACCATCGACCTTGAAGGTCCCGTCATGCTCTTCCGCTCAGTTGAAAAGTGTTTTTTTCCAGAGCATTTTGTTCACCGAAACAACTGCCGAGCGTCCTCTCATACAGAGTGTTGTGCTTGAACGGAATTCAATATAACAATTGTGACCTGTGGACATCATCCTGTTGTTTGGAAATTTCATTGTTTAGGCTACACGTGATAGCAATTTTTAGATACCATACACAACTTGCTCAATAATGTGCATGGGGCATTCTCTAGCCCTAAGCATTTTACAATGGTGTCCACTCTTGTTCGGGGAGTCGAGCACAAATCCGGTCATTTAGATCGTCCGCCAGCCTCACTAAAGATCTTGTGATATCCTATCATGCCCCATGTGCTGCACTTTTGAATTACGGACTTTAGAAATTGTGGGAATGTATCCAGCTCAACCAACCAGACTGATGCGCGCTTTCTTGTTGCGCTAACTAACTGCACCTTACCATTTAGGGTCTGAAAATCCAAAAGCGGCACCGTTTGGCACTAACACACTTGGTTGTTGGTCTGTTTGGCAGTTGGGTTGTACTGAGGAACCTCTAGTCTATTCTTAATCGAGTGTGAGCATCCGTAATTATCAGTCGAGTCATACGCCTACTGCTTCATCTAACGATCATCAAGTTGGTTAAATGGTGGTCCATAGGATAGGCTACATGGTAGTGTCTTGTGCCACAGGCATTGGTGGAGGGAGCAAAGCTGCTATCAGATGGAAACCAGTGCGCACGCCAAAGTCTTCTATAGACGGGAAAACAGAACAGCTGCCAAGCAGAGCCAACGAGTTACTTATATTCCTCACCAACAATACTGATAAAGTCATCACCTTATTCTTGGAATGCCTTTCTTTTAGCTTTGAGCCCAATAGTTCTTGAACTAAGGGGGATAAGATACTAGGACGAATACGATTTTGAGCAAATAATCCGTAGATTACTAACATCATATCTAAATTTAGCGACAATTGAGCTCGAAATGACATACGATATGTAGGAAAACAAGTTGTCCTAGTTATTTTTCCAATCTTTCTACGAATACTCTCTTTGAAAGACGAATTAATAATCGGAATAATCTTATTCATATAAGTTTTAAGCAAGACGGAAGAGACTCGTGGTCTTGTGAAAAGATAACGAAAAACTGGCCCGGTATTTGAATATTTCATTTAATGATAACAAATTAGGAAAACTCTCTGTCGGATGCCAGCCGTCATTCCACCGTAACAATGTGTGATCTCGTAGTGAATGCCTGTTCCGCGAGTAAACGTGACCAAAACGCACGACACTGCTGCTTGTTTTAGAGGCCCTGATTTAATGATACAAATTAGGAAAACTCTCTGTCGGATGCCAGCCGTCATTCCACCGTAACAATGTGTGATCTCGTAGTGAATGCCTGTTCCGCGAGTAAACGTGACCAAAACGCACGACACTGCTGCTTGTTTTAGAGGCCCTGTGATTCCTGTTTTCGCGCTGGAATCGTTCATCGCCTATAACTTATCTCGGGTGTTGTGCGTCCATCACGCTTCTGGGCTTTCGTTACCTAGGCGTATTTCGGAACTGAACTTCTGTCCTGTCGTGTATATTCTGGTTTATTCTGGACGAAGCACTCGACTCGGATTTCGCTCTTGTTAGGATATCAATGAACGTTCTCGGTCGTACAGAGCTTTCAATCCCGGACCTCCGTGGTATCACTGCGCTGAAGGTACCTGAATTACTACGTTTGAAAAAGTGAACATGTTTATGGTTGAGCGATGTGATTGGTTAGCCCGACGCCCTAGAATGGTAGGAAGGGAACATTGTTGTAGACCACAATCTCCTTAATGCTTTCTTATGACCATGAACCCCGGTCTGGATAGCCGATTGATAGCCTAGTGCGCTTGACCAAACCAGAAGAAGTCAATGTACGTGCAAACCGCCTGATCTGTTGATCACTGTCGCGTACAAGTGGGTCAAAAAGTGACACTAAGAATACAACTCATCTGTCAAGGGCGAGTGAAGAACAACCAATGAAATCTGTCTCAAATAAAGTGGTTATTCCATTGGCTGTAGTACAGTCCCGTTACGTTCGGAGCTGTTTCTCCTAATAAACGTCACACAAGGGGATATTATCTTCGGATTGTCATTTACCCCATTACTTTTTCTGGACAATATCCAGTTTCTAATTGAGAGACGCTCTTATGTTAATAGGGTGACAAGTTTTCCGGTAGATAGTGTTAAGTGAAAAGTTCAGGGAGCGCATCTTCATACAAAATCAAACTACTCTAAACTGTCAAACTCCTCCACCCCGTTTGCCTTAGAATAAGGCAGTAGTTTCCTCTCAATGGAGAAACACGCCGGAGAAGGGATGCGAACTATGGCTTCCCGACTATCGGACAGGTGATCTACAAACTCGGTGGCAGAACGCCCCCTGGCAGGCGGGAGGGGGTCACTGTTTCGGATCCGCACACCGACATGCCTTTTCTTTCATGCCTTTTGTACTTAGCCTTTTTATATTAGGATTTACTAGCAACCGTCTATTCAATGTTATTTTTCCCAAAATATCCAGGAAGTGGGAAAATTCAGTGCGGTACAATATATCTATAAGCCTTATATTCGGAACTTTTCGGTGTATTCAACGGTCCTAAGGTTCGCTAAAGTTGCTCACAGCATCGCTTACAATGCGGAGTTGTGTGGAGATTTTAGTGCAGAGATTAACAAGCCCAGTCTACAAAGCAACTGGCTCCGTCGACCCTTTTCAGTCAGGGTTTTCCCTTCAAAAGTTGCATGGGTCCAACCAAGATAGTGAAAAATTTCCACTTACCATTGGAATTCTCGCAAGGCGTTACCAGCGTCATACGGAAGGATCTTCAGTAGTGCTAACTGTCCACGCCTCAACATTTGAACGCCATCAGCGTAACCTGTTAGCTATAAATCTACGGTTTCGATACTAAACTGTCCTGACTAGTTTTGCAGCACTTTACTTTTGCCAATCAGTCCCAAATTAAAACTTATCTATCCTGCTCATCTGCCCAAACTCCCCACCCTCGGCAAGGACATTCGATGAACACAATGTACTACGTGACCAGTCCAAGGGACCAATAAAGGACGGCGTTTTGGCTCTGCTACACAAGGGTGTGCTCCGGGAAACCAGTTTACCGAACACGTAAGCGCTTGTTGTACACACTTCTATTAGTGTTGTTTGTCTGATTGCTTCGTTCTGTACACTCCAAACGTTATCAGAGGTAAAAGCGGTCCCCTCCATAAAAAAACTGAGAAGTTTGTTGTAATAGGGGATGCACTTTCATTTGCCATGCTCCTCTTCATCGCGGTGGCACCCGCAAGAAATTCATCAGACTATGCTTGAATATGATGACTATTTGGGTGAGAAATTGAGCGTCCAAGACGATGAGACTGGAACTGGATCTGAACACGTTAACTGCAAACCATAATGCTCCAATCAGAATTCCATTTGTTTGGTACTTAGCGCAGAACTAGCGTGAAACGTTATTACTAACACTTGACTATGGTCTAGTAGTCGAATTTTCCGAAAAATTTGTCATCTTATCAGCAAACGTGTGGAACCTTCCGATAAGCCCTTATTCCAAGCTTGGTAACTTCTTGGACAGTGCGCATCTCGGGAAACTTAGAAAGTTTAGAACAGGCAATAAACGCACGGTTGCCTAGTTTCCAAGGTATAGCTCCAGGCGCTCTGCTAAACAGGATGGAATTAAATTCTGTCGTGATGAACAACTTTCTTTTTATTTCAAAACTTTTCGCAGGTCCTCTTCTTTTCTCCTCTCGAATAGGGAGATAAAATACCGATGAACGGACCCCTAGATATGATATCCTTGATAAGTGAAGTCTGATGCGGGGTTATTTCTTCAGACCTCTTCTGTTTTGTTTCTGATTTACCAAAGTTGGTTGTATTTTTTTCAGTTTTTACATGCCACACGGTTTGACGGTGGATCCCGAAGGGAATATATGGGTCACCGATGTTGGTTTACACCAAGTAAGTGTAGGTGAACGCATGCTTGTGTTTTCCAGTAGTACAAAAATGCTATTTCTTAGCGTAAAATCGTGACAGGTGGATGTACAACTCATTTAAGTAACCCCAATGATGGGCTAAAATGGAGAACCGAGATATTTGGCATAGTTTTGGAAGGTCACACAACGGGTTCTGTCTGAAAGTTTCCCCCACCCTTCAGAAGGGTCTTTCTTGCGTAGAATGTTTTACAAGGGGACAAAAAAGTGAGTTGCTGAAAAAAACATCCAAATATTTGCCTTCCGGAGCAACCGCGATTACTGTCAACATCCAGTGAAGTCAAATGTGCAGGTGCCCTCAGAACGAAAAATCCTGATGAAATAACCAGTTCAGAACGGTGTCGGTTTAAACTTTAGCTACCCCTTTGGTTTCAGCTTTTGACACATGACGATCTGGGGCTTAAGCCTCACTTCTAAAACGAACTCGTCAGTTGGTTTGAGATGCCAAGGGGTCTCAACTATCTGTTTTATGTCCTGCAATACAAGTGCTTCATTCAAAAAAGCACTCGGCTTCACATATTCAAACATTCTCCAGGGAGTCTGATTAGGAACAACCTCTGGACAGAGGGTGCGACAACCAGATTTTTTAGAAGAAAGTAACAATCTTGAAGTTGCATTCAATGTTATTCCGGTCAAACTGGCCTTCTAATCAAGTGAGACGAGGTCCTTTACATTGTACCTTCTGCCAACCCAGTTATTTTGTGCTCCCTTGGTTAGCTGAATGTTAAGTTCATCAGCTGTTTGGTGGCTTTCGGTCTAGATACAAGCGCCTTACTAGGATTTTAGAAAATAAATTCAAATACTGATGTTGCGTCCAGCTGGAGGGATCCGCTTGTCAGTCGAACATAAATTAGGTGACCACTGCCGACTGTTCAGCTCACGGTGTTAACGGCACCGGGATGGTGGGTTTGTCCTTACCAATAACCGAATGTCATACGCCGCTACGTTTTATGTCGCACAGTACGCAAAACTATCTGTACAAACTGAGACTGATATCAGCGACGCAACGAATACGAAGGAATTTATCAATTTACTGGTTTAGAGACATTCGTAAAGGAGGGGTAGGACGCTTAGTTCCCTATATACTCGCATTCCCAACGCCTGATGCTCCGCGCGCCAAAAATGTAAGCCTCAAGGTTGCCGATGCATATAGTACAGCAGTTTGAATTTAAGAGAGTTTCAATCTTTTCAGTCTTTCTGTTTGCAAGGTCACCTTCATGCACATGTATATCTAACGGACTACAAAATGCCCACCGTTGTTACACTTCATATATATATATATATATA